AAAAAATCAATAAAATATATTTTTTTAAAAATGGTCTAGTCCTAGCTGGTTTGGTTCAGTGGATATATCATCCGGGACTGAAGGGTCCCTGGTTCAACTCTGGTCAAGGACATGTACCTCAGTTGAAGGTTCGATCCCGGGCCCTGGTCAGGGCATGTGCGAGAGGCAACCAAAATCAATGTGTCTCTCTCACATCAATGTTTCTGTCTCTCCCCCTCTTTTCCACTCTCTAAAAATCAATGGAAAAATATCCTCAGGTGAGAATTAACAACAACAACAAAAAAAAAAAATTAAAAGAACAATGGTCTAATTTCATTGTTTTGATGAAGACCTGGAGACCAGTAGAGGCAATAACTTGGTCAAGATCACACGCCAATTAGTCCTGTCCACTTTTGGCCCCCTCTGTCCAGGGCCCCAACATCATCCCAGCAGACATCATCTTCATCGTGAAGGAGAAACTACATCCTCGCTTCCGCAGGGAGAATGACAACCTCATTTTTGTGAACTCCATCCCGTTGGGCAAGGTGAGCGGCTGAAGTGGAAAAGTAGGGGGTGGGTGGATCAGAGTGAGTTCCGCCCGCCCTATGGGAGGCTCTGAGGCAAGCAGGTCTTCGGAATGTGGCGAGTGCCACTCGGAATCTTTATGGCCAGGTTCACTCCTGAGCATGAGTGTCCCCTCCACACCCTTACAACCCAGGCAAGAAACAGCACCAGCCTAGACTTTGCTTCTCTTCCCTCACCCACCTGCATCAGTCACTAAGTCCTGCCAATTCCACCTCCAAGTCCCTCTCCCTTGGTCCACTTCTGTTCACCCCCACCATCTGGGCCTTCCTGGCTCCCTGCTCATCTCCTCCTCCAGGCTCTTGCCCACAGCAGTCTTTCCTCATCCGGTCACACCACACTCCTGTCTAAACATCTTGGCATGGCACTCGAGGCCCTCTCCAATCTGGCCTCTGCTGACCTCATCCCCTGCCCTCCAGCCACCGTGCCACTTAGAGCTCCTGACCATTTGGTACATTGTCACACCTTCATTCTCTTGGTTTTTCTGGCCCCTCTGCCCGGAATGCTATCTACCCACCTTCTCTAACTGGTAAGCTCCTCCTCACCCCTTAAAGCACTCAACTGCTACCAGCTCAGTGCAACCTTTCTGTTCACTCCCAAATGGTTTGGGGGTGGGGGTGGGGGGGAGGAGAGCTCTCCTTGGCTCCCACCAACCCCTCTACTTCCCTCTATCATAACTTATCAACATCAGTCTTGCCTACCAGACTGATTTCCCTTTATAGCCTTGAGGCCCAGCTTGGGGCCTGGTACTAAAGAGGATTATAAAGTGCCTTCTAAACAGAATGGCCATGGGGAACTTCCCTACTCCTGCCTTTGGCCCTAATGTCCCCTAGGCTCTGACCTGTTGCACCGTGGAGGTGAAGACCCTAGATGACCGGCTACTCAACATCCCCATCAATGACATCATCGAGTGAGTCCATCTGCTTGGGCCTCAGCAGGCAGCAGGGCTGGCTTGGGCCTTAGAGGGTAGCATCAGACAGGTTGGCCTAGTAGAGTTGTTAAGGTTGCACTAAGCACAAGAGGGCGAGAGAGGACTAAAATCCAGTCTCCACTCTGCCTCTCCAGACCAACAAGGTGCCTTTTTTTCACTTTCACAAAGGCCCTTTAGAGGCTAGGGGCCCACAGTGCTAGGCAATCCTTGTTGCCTTCATCTTCCATCCTCCAACAGCTCTCAGTGGAGTTCTGAGTTAATCCCAATGAGCCCTTTCCAAGGAGGGCCCTCAAACCAGGGTCTACTCACTTCCCTTCCTTCCTTGCCTGTTTCCCATCTCTAAAATGAGATTCCTGAAATGCTCCCAGAGACTCAGTGTAACTCTCTGGAACGAGCCAGCCTCCTCTCCTCCCACCCAGTTCTGGCTGAAGAAAGCTACTGCCCATGGTGGAAGCTGTAGCGACTGCCCCACGACTGATGTGAGCGGGAGGCGTGGGGGGGGGGGGCATGGGCTCTGTCCAGATGCTGCTCTGGAGCGCCCTCTCAACTCTCTTCTTTCATCTTCCCTCAGTCCTAAGTACTGCAAGAAGGTGCCAGGTGAGGGGATGCCATTGCCCGAGGACCCCACCAAGAAGGGGGACCTCTTCATCTTCTTTGAAATCCAGTTCCCCACCCGCCTCACCCCCCAGAAGAAGCAGATGCTGCGCCAGGCATTGCTGATGTAACTGGTGGGCTGGGGCTGCAGCAGGTGTCAGCGGAGGCTTGCGGGGGTGGGGGTGGGGGCAGGGCCTTACCCCACTTCTATTTCCCACAGCCTCAGGGTGCTCAGGGAAGCCAGCCCACTGCAGTGACATGAGGTTGGCTATTTAAATAAAGATTTGCTATCTTCTAGCTACTACACCCAGGAAAGTGTGTTGGAGAAGCTTCCTATAGCCCCTCTTGGGTCCCTGCCCTGACTTCGTGGGGGTAGCTGGGTCCCTGAGGGTTCAGAGCCTTTATGCTCCCACCTTGAGAGCCTGGGGCAGTGCTGTGTAGCAGAAGGGTCCCCAGCTCTGCTGATTTCTCAGGACACGCGATATTTAAAAAGGGCTCAAGTCTAGTGTGATGTCACTTTGTACTCGGAAAACTGAAGTACTCGGGACTTAGTGACAGCTGTCATCACCACCTCAACGGCCACTTCCCACAGACTCACCCTTAGAGAGGCAGCATAAAGAACACAAGCCCTGGAAATGGCCGTTTCCTATCCTGCCAGCCTCAACTCCCTGGCCTGAGCTGAGTGGATCCTGTGCTGTCTCTAGGCCTGGTCGTCTTGGAGAGCTGGGTTCTGTTCCCAGCCTGGCCACTGACCCTTCCTCAAGCTGTTTGTGAGGACCAAGTCATTGTGTGAAAGTGCTTGGTGTACTTGATTTCAGGACCAGCGCTGCTGTCCAAGTGGCCTGCAGGAGCGCCAGCCCCCAGATCCAGCTGAGCCTGTGCAGACCACACCTGCCTCCCCATCTGCCTTCATCAGTCAGTAACAGTGAGGTGGGCACCTCTTCTGTGCCAAGACTCTCCTGGGTCCAGGTTTGGGTTAAGATAGGTCCAATTTTATGACAGAGTAAGAGGCCACTTTTGTGAAGACTTCAGAGATGCCACAAGGGGCTCCCACATTGTCTCCCACCATTCAAAGCATCATTAGCTTAAGGTTTTTCCTTCAATGGGGACTCAGTAGCACTAGTCAACCATTTTTAACCCGTCAGATCCAAGGCGTAGGACGTGGACCCAGGGTGTAGGGAGCGTTTCTGCATAATCATGGCTTTGGAGTCAGATATACCTCAGATGTGTTGTTTACCAGTTGAGCTCTTAGGTAAACCCCTTCCCCTTCCCTGAAATCTGACTCATACAGACTGCAACCCCTACCTTGCAGACTTGTGCAAACCAGAGGAGAGAAGCCAACTATGTCCTCTGAACAATTCGGGTGATTGAGTGGTGGTAGCAGCCCTCTTCTGGAAAGTGACCAGGAAGGACATGTGGGCCTGCACTGGGATGTCCCAGCACTCCAGGTCTGATGGAAAGCTTGCTAACCTCTTCCCCAGGGGGAGACCTTGTGAGCTGGGCAAAGCAGGGCTCACCACACCCATTTTAAAAGTATTAAGGACTAAGGACCAGTTAGAGGCGTACTGGTGGTGCCCCATCCAGTGGTTCCTACCACCTTTCCCAGCTCATTGCCCCGGATCAGACCCGGAACCACGGTGAGACCTGTTGCACTCCTGTCCATGTCTGGGACACAAGCCTGCCGAAAGGAACCAGCTGACATGCCAAGGACACCAATTGCCCCTCAAGTCCTCTGTGCAAGTGACCCGGCGCCTCCCATCACACTGCCTGCCTGCAGCCCAGTAGAGAACAGCATGGCTGAATTTCCGGGCTTCGCTCTGAATCAACTCAGCACCCGCTGAGTCCCTCTTGGGGCCTGAGACCTTGGCTTAATTTGTCAGTTTTCTTCTTCAGGAACCTGTTTAATATCCTGAACTGCTTGCCCAGGTGCTGAAAGCCTAGCCTCCAGATCTGACCAATGGAGCAGTAGCATCAGCTTTCAGGCTGCGAGGAGGATCATGTTCTCAACCTGGCTGCACAGCTACCCAACAGGAGTCCTTCAGGACCCCAGCAAGGGCCTCTGTGGGAGAGGCCACAGGGGAGGGGAGTCCAAGGTCAGCTGCTGAGGTCCTGTGTCCTTCCTTGCATGACCTCTCTGCCCTCAGATTCCTCAGACATCTATGATAGCCCGGTGGGCTCATGCAGGGCTGAGATATTTGAGATTTTGGGAGTCCCTGCCCAACAGCTTTCCTGCCTGAGGACAGGAGGTAGGAAGAGGGACAGAAATGTGTCGATCCCAATGCAGCCTAAGCCTTGGCTTGCCCCTGCTTCCGTGGGATCTGTAGCCCGGGAGAGGGTGAGATTCCAAGTGTAAACGACCATCAGGCTGAGGACAGATATCTGCCCTCTCAGCGCAGCCATACTGTCTCCCAAGGATGGGAATCTGGAGGATGGGAGGCAGCCCAACTTGCCCTCGCGAGGTCTGGGACTTTGGGGAGGTCGGTTTCTCATTTACCAATATAAAATGGAATAAATAAGCCCACAGCATCTGAGTCCCAAGTTCCTCTAAATCTTCCAAGAAGCACAGGAGATGGGAGAGCAGACAGGAACACTCATTTTGCAGATCAGCAAGCCTGGGGCAGGCTGAGGGGCTAGAAAGGCTGATGCTGGAGCACCAAGCACTGGGTGAGTCAACGCTCAAGGAGCCTGGTGACAGCAAAGCCACCGCGTCTTCTCTTGCCCCCTCAGCACCAGGCCGGTCCTGAAAAGAGGAACAGACTCGACGATGTCCATGGGCCCCAGACTGGACACCGGAGGTGGAAAGTGGTTACACCGCCCCTTTCCAGGTTAAGGTGGCTTCCCCACTGCCACCAGGTGCCAAAGGGCCCATCAAACCAAGATGTCTGCTAACAGCTATAAGAGAGGGAGGAGACACCAAGATTGAGCTTGCTTTATGGGTGATATGCTGGCTTCGCTTGGGAACAAGATAAAGAGATGGGCTGAACTTTTCAAGGGACTGAGGGGTTTGGGATCCTGGTTGGTGACAGGCCTTCAGAGTGTCAACTGGGGTCAACTCCACCAGGACTGAGAGGCAATGGGGAGGAGGGGGGGAGGTAGGGAGGAGAGGTAACAATGTGGGGAGAGAAAAGGGAGATGGTAGAAATGGGAGGAGGAAGGGGTGGAGAGTGAGGGGAGGGGAGGAGGGGAAGAGGAAAAGGAGGGCCTGGCTGGAGCTGAAGCCAAGCTAGGAGGTCAGGTTGGCAGCAGGAGAGGCTCAAAAGGGAGCCTCCCGGGAAGTGCAGGCAGCCGTGAGGGCCCGTTTCAGCTGCTCATAGGTGACGAACATCACCACGTTCCAGGAACCCAAACGGAGGAAGGAGGGCATGAACCTAGAGGTAAAAAACACAGGTCATAGGGGGCACCTCCACCTCCTGCTCACCCCACTGGGCCCTGGCATCAAATCCAACCCAGTGCTTTGTCCCAAAGGAGGTTGGGAGGGCCCAGGGAACAAAGCCTCACAGCTGTGTGGCTGTGCAAGAATGCCCGTGAGCCTCCATTTAAACACCCATAAAGCAGGCAGCAACTCTGAGAGGAAGGAGTATGAGCATGAGAGAATGCCCATGAAATCTCAGGACCATGATCAGAAAGTTTGATCCTGGTTGCCACTCAGTTCCAAGTGTAATAGGCCTGGAACCGGGTGGGGTGGATCACAGGCTCACCCTTTGTAGAAGGCTCGGGGACCCTCCTTCTGGAGCATGGTGAGGGCACAGCGGCCAGCGCTGCTGTACTGGCCAAGGGCAGAGTTCATGTATCTCGTCTTGACTACGTCGACAGGGGAGGCAATGATGGTGGTGCAGAAACCTGCCCCGAAGGCAGAAGTGAAGTGGCAAGGAAGGTCATCTGTCAAGAAGGAACAGGCAAGGGGGTCAGGACTCCGCACCCCATCATTCAGGAAGGAGAGAGGATTTTAAGTAGCTGGGGTCTTGTGATTTTAGAGAGACTCCAACTAGGACCTCTCTTGAGAACCTAAAGTCACTTTGCCTCAAAGCCCCAGTGTGCAAAGTGGGAATTTCATTCCACTTGGCTTCAATATGCTAGTGAGAGGAACTCATTCTATAACCCAAAAGGAAACAGGATGAAAAGATGTGGCTTTTGGGCAACCAGATTACCACATCTGATCCTGAGCTGGGGGAAGGGGGAGCCCCAGCATCATTTACCCTAACTCACCTGTCATGAGGTTGGCCTTCAGGAGGGCATCCTTGATTAGGTCGTAGGTCACCAATTCAGTACAGTTCACAATTGCATTACGGGCAATATTGGGAGAGGTTCCTACAGAAGGAAGGAGTGTCTGTTAGACCAGGGAATGGGGGGAAGGAAGAAGAAAAAAAGGGAAAGAAGAAACATCCGGCACACACCTTTCCAGAGTCCCCGGAACCCTTCCTCTCGGGCAATGGTCTTGTAGGCATCAACAGTACTTTGGTATCTCTGGCCACCTCCAGCCCGGGCCTGAGCCTGGAACCGGACCTTTACCACATCCGTGGGCTGGGCCACAGCCACAGCCAGGGCACCGGTGGTGCTGCCTGCCAGGAGGCGGCTCCCGATGCCGGCATCTGTGGAAGAACCATGGAGGACAGTGAACAGCTGGGCTTGCACTCATTTTCTGCCTCTCCTCACCAAACACAGCCCCTCTTGCCTTTGGGCAAAGGACCAGACCAGCTCTTCCCCTAAGAAGTCCCCACATCAAACCAAATATTACTTTGTCTACCACTTGCTAGGCACTGGGACACAGCAGGGAGGGGGACAAAATGAGACTTTAGTGCTTTCTTTCATAAAATATTTTTATTCACTTCACTAACCTGCTCAATATCCCTCAGAAACCAGTCATTTCCATTTGACAATGAGAAAACCTAGGCTCAGAGAGAAGTGGCTTTTCCAAGGATTGGGACACCTACTTCTCCTTGCCCGGTGATCTTAAGAAAAATCAATTTTTAATCTGGGTCCTCAGTTTCCACATGTGTAAAGCAGAGGGAGGACATGACATGCTGAGAAACCAGAGTGCTGGCCTTTGGAAGCTAAGGTCCTGGGTGTGTTTTTTTGCTTCCCTCTGTGGGCGCTTGGCCAAGTCCTTCCTCCATGCTACCCCCCAGCAAACCTCAGTCTCTTCCTCTGTAACACGGGATACCACCTACTCTCAAAGTGGTTGTGAGGATTATCATGAGAGGACGCCCTGCTCAGAGCTGGCACAGCCCAAAAGCTCAGAAATCATGAGAATCAGGGCCCTAAAGGAGTTAGGCAGGGAAATGAACTAGGATCAATCACCACTGAGAAGAAAAGGCTAAGGAGCCTACAGCCCAGCCCCACACTTACGCTCAGAGCCCTTGGTGTAGAACTGCTTGACAGAGTCGTAGAGGCCGATGCGGACAGAGGCAAAGCTCATCTGTCGCTGCAGGCCGGCGACCAGCCCATTGTAGAGGCTGCGGGGACCCTCGGTGCGCGCCATGGTGAGGATGGTGCCCAGCACACCGCGGTATTGGACACTGGCTGCAGCTCGCACTGCCCCCTGCTTTTCTCCTTGGATCTGCAAGGCCAAGACAGGTATAGGAATAGACAGGTTGGCATACCCATGCTCCAACGTTTACAGTCCCAAACAACCCACTGGCCCTTGAGGAGTCTGCGTCTTGGGGAGGAAAAACTAGACGCTACCAGGATTCCTAGGCTTCACCCCCTCACCTGCAGCCGGACTTTGGCAGTATCCAGGGGAAAGGTGATGAGATCTGCAATGCAGGCAGCTGTGCCAGCCCCCAGGAACTTCACAGTGGCAGTAGGGGGCACATCTGTGGCCTTGAACCCAACCATGATGCCGATTTTCTGCAGTCTTCCAGGAAATGAAGAAAAGTTGGAGAAGGGGACACCTTCAACCAGCGTCAAGACGAGATAGAGGAACTCTGCCGGAATCTAAGCCAAGGGGAGAGAAGCCCAATCAGTTTCCCTGCTCACTACCCCAACTCCTGCCTCCTCTGACAGCAACACCTCCCTCAGCAAGGACCAGAGTAACCCTATGAGGGAAAATAGTGAGCTCTGGAGGTACTCAAACAGGGGCTGAAGAAGCAATTCCTGCCCAAGGCGTCCAAATTTTGTGAAGAGATTCCACTACAGGGAGAGTCCGGATCACAGATATCCCAGTGTTGCCTCAAATAGGCCCTGGCCCAGACCTCCGTCTGCTGGGCCAAGATTTCCCTCATGAAGCCCACATTCCTGCTTCTGCGGATCTGTCTGGAGGGCAGAAGTGAGGAAAAGGTTTCAGCCAGACCAAGACCTGACAGGCATAAACCTGAAGGCTTCCACCTGGGTTTCTTAAGCAATCAAGACTCCTAAGGTTCTGGAATTGTCTAAGTCTGTAAGAACAGGAACGGGTATTCAGTTCCTTCCCACCCATCAGTCTCTTTCTTTCCCCAGCCCGTGCACAGCTTGGGCTCTCCTGAATCATCCTTTTAACAAGAGGTAGGCTCGGGTTCACTGAGACGCAGGAGACAGTGTCTATCCCTAAGGGGGCTTACTGTCTGGCACAGAGTAGGCAGGTGATTCAAGCTGCACTGGGACTTGCAGGACATACTGTCAAACTGCAGAGGAGGTAACAACTAACTCTAATAGAGAGAGGTAAGGAAGAGTGGGCAATCAGAAGACTTAGGCAAGGTAACACTTAGCTGGACCTTGAAGGATCCTAGGCAATTCTCGGGGCAGAGTAGTGCCTAGGCCCTCAACTTTCTTCCCCTGCCCTACTGTGTGATTCAGGGAAAACCCTACTGTATGATTCAGGAAAAACCCCCTCCCTCTTTGGCCAGTATCTTCTCCTCCACCATAGGAGTCCCCCGTCACCACAAGAGATGGGGGTGGGGAGATGCAAGTCAGAGATAGTGACACAGGAAACCAAAAACTACATTTTGTTCCTAGAGCTGGAACAACACCCTTCCCTCCCCCGCTGCAGAAGGAGGAAGTGAGCCCAGCACCCAGTGGGGGAGAGGGCTGCTTCTCTCTCCCCAGCTCACTTCCTGTTTCATTGGAGCAGCTGCTCTGATCCCAGTCTGATTGGCTGCCCCTGTTGCTGGGCCAGGGGGAAGGAGCTGAGAAGCAAAGGGAGGATCCGTTAAGAGTCAGCTGTGAACAGTGACCCATGGAAACAAACAGCTCACAAGCTGTTTCCTCCTGGGCTTCATCGCCCAGGTGGCAGGGGCAAACAGGGAAATCCGGAGCCTCACCACTCAACTGCATCAGGAGCTCCTATAAGGCGGGGCTGGTTTCCCTCCCCTGGAGCCTGGCCCACTTGAGGCTGTTAAGATGGGCACTCAAATGGCACAATGGGTGGATTGTGCTCCAGACTCCCTAGCTTCCCTGCTCTGCTACCCTCACCTCCATGGAGGTGCTCCACCCTAGCGCCTCAGAGCAGCCCTGTGAGGTGGCCACCCTTACCTACATATTACAGATGAGGGGACTCAGTCAGACAGTTACAGATTCCAAAGCTTAAGCCATTTGCTTTGTACTGTGCCTAGCTCATTTCTTTCCTGTGGTTTTCTCAGCCCCAGGAACCAGCAGGGCCTCTCAACAGCCAATTTCTCTCATACCAGTATGACAGTTCTGAGAAAGTAAAGGCAAGTGGCATGCCTTTACCGACTTTGAGCTGGGCTGAGGGTGTTGAGACCCAACCCTGGCTCACCTCAAAGACAAGTACACAAAGACTCAGCTGCTGCCCTAACTGGTTTGGCTCAGTGGATGGAGTGTCAGCCTTCAGACTGAAAGGTCCTAAGTTGGATTCTGGTCAAGGGCATGAACCTTAGTTGTAGGCACATTCCCAGTAGGGGGTGTTGCAGGAGGCAGCTGATCCATGTTTCTCTCTCATCGATGTTTCTAACTCTCTATCCCTGTCAATTCCTCTCTGTAAAAAAAAATAAAAAATAAAAAAGACTCAGCTGCCATTTTGAATGCTGCCTTGGATTTGCCACAAGTCAGTTCTTTCAGGGGCATCGGTATGGGGTTAAAGGTCACCTCTGCTAAAGACCCCATTAAAAAGAGTGAGTAAAACTCAGGCCTAGGAAGAATTAATCATATTTTGCGGTCCCCAGCAAATAACCAGTTTCAGTGTCCAAAAGCCATATATCTTACTACAACTTTCAGTCTCAGGGGCAGTCAAAACTGAAGTAAAACTATATGTAGTTAGAACAATAGGTTCCTGTTCTGTTGAGAACAGGTTCCTGTTCTGTTGATTCCCGGGTCACCCAGGGCCAATCACTCCCACCCAGAGCACAATTTCCTCTTTTGTAAAACTGGGACCATTATCCTTGGCTTGTCAGGGTCAGCCCAAGAGCCAGAATGAGACCAGGAATACACACATGTCAGTGCTTTGTGAACTCTGAAGAGTGACTTCCCTGGGGTGGTGGGGGCAGTTATTTTTGTCTTGCTGACTCTCCACCTCCATCCCAGACCCTAGGGCGAGGAGGCCGCAGGAGACCCTCCCTTAGACTGGACTCTCACCCGGCTTTGGAAGGTCTCACGCTGAGGCCTCCAAGATCAAGCTTCTCTAAAGGCGTCCCATTCTTCAAAGCTGCCGGAAGCTTTCATGCTCCGATCCTGTTGGTTTTCCATAGAAAATGGCCGGGAGACGAAACACCCAAAGGTCATACTATGTGTCCTGTGAATAATGGCAAAGAAGGGGGAAATTTTAGAAGGAAATTCACCTTAAAGGACCACACCCTGTTAAGGAAAGGGCATCTGTGCAAAGGCACAAAGCCCACTCAACCCGTGCGGGGGAGAGGGGACAAGGTCCATCTCCCCAGGGACCAATTCAGTGCACAAAATGGAGGGAGGAAATGAACCCAGGAATTCTCCCTCCCTGTCTGCTTAGTACCACACATCAGCTCTCTTCAGACTTTTGTTTTGGTGGCATGGAGCACTCTGGAAAGCACCCCCCAACCCAGTCAGCAGATTGGGGAGTAGAGTGTTGCGGGGAGGGGGTTAGGGGGTATCATGATGCGTCCAGAGAGACTCGGTAAGTCCACCAGGGCCCAGAGCAGGGCTGCGAGGAGGTGAAAGGAGCCAGCAGCTCAGAGCCCCTCCAAGCAGAAACAGCTCCAAAAAGGCCTGGAGCCCCCGGGAAAGAGAGGGGCCATTCTTGGGCATCGCTGAGGCGCCAGAAGGTCCCCACCCAAGGCAGGGCTGGCATTCTAGCCGAGGGAAGAAAGGGGGAGAGGGGGGAGGTTTAGGTGTAAATTACAGCTCACTGAACGCCAGAGTTTGTAAAGAACAAAAGCGAGTAGGAAAAGGGTGAAAGAAGAGAGATAAAGAAAGGACAGAAAGGAGAAATACAGAATAGGCTGGGAGCAGAGAAGGGAAACTGGAGAGGGAAGCGCGGTGGCAGGCGCGGAGCACGTGTAGCAGGCGGAGGGCTGGGGCGGGCCAGGCTCACCGGGCCGCGGGGGGAACACGAGACGACGAGAGGGCGGGTGGCTCTGCCGGTCGGCGGGCGGTCGGAGGGCGCGGAGAGGGAGGCGGACGATTGAGGACTGTGCGGTCGGCCAGGCTTGCAGTGGGGCGTGCGGAAGCTGCCCCGGCGGCTTAAGCTCTGGGGGCGGGGCCTGAGGAAGGGCGGGCCCTGTGGGGGCGGGGCCAAGATCCCACCTGCCCTCGCCGCCGCCTTCCTGCCGGGCCGCTCGCTGCGCGCGCCCTCCACTACTCCCATTTCGTGCGAGCGGGCGGGCTCCCGCGTCCACCCCTCTGGTCCTTTCTCCCCACCCCGTGGCCACTCCCTCCCCCGAGTCCGCCAACGTCGTGTAAATGGCAAGACTAACGCCAGGGAAAAGCGGAGGTTGCCCAGTGCCAAGGCCCTTTCCAACTCCGCCCCGGGGCTCGCTAAACCGCCGCCTGCCTTCGCGCGAACGCAAGCGCGGGCTCTCGCAGGGCGGGGCCTCCCGGCCGGCCTCGCTAGTGATTGGTTAAAGCCGTCGCGTCGGCGAAAGGAGCCAATCCGGGCCGCAGCAGCAGGTGGCCGGCTGCGCCGTGGCCGTTGGGAGCAGCTGGACTTCCGGCCTCCTCCCGCCCTGGCGGCCCGGGAGGCTTCCGGCTGGGGTGGGGCGGGGCACCAAGCGTGACGCACGTGGACCTGTGGCCCGCACCTTAGGTTTTTGTTGGCCCTTGGAGTCTGTGTTCCTACTTTTGTGTATGCTCCGTCTTTTCCTTCCACTGTTGTGGTCTTATATGCTTCCAGGACTGCTTCGGTAAGGGGAAGCTGTTTACCTGACTACACCCAAAGCTCCTCAGATCAGGAAGGAGCTTTATTTTCAGTATCACAGCCCTCCAAAGGCCAATATAAGCCTAAAAGACTGGTAACTAGAGGCCCCGTACATAAAATTTGTTCATGGGGTGTGTAAAGGTGTCCCTCAGCTCAGCCTGCACCCTCTCCAATCTAGGACATCCAGGATTGCTGGCTCCCAACTGCTCCCCTGCCGCCTGACTGCTCCTAACTGCCCTCCCCTGCTGGCCTGGTCACACCTAACTGCCCTCCCCTGCAGGCCCAATTGCCCCTAACTGTCCTCTCCTGCAGGGCTGGTCTCCCCCAACTGCCCTCCCCTGCCTAGCTGAATGGGGATGGATAATTACAGCAAGTGTCCAGAAAACAACGTTGAAATCTATAATAAAGTTTTATAGGTGTTTATTTGAACTACAATATTTTTCGGACCATAAGACGCTCCAGACCATAAGACGCACCAGTTTTTAGAGAAGGGAAGTGAAGAAAAAAAGATTCTGAAACAAATAGTGTCCTAAAATATTTTATGTGCATTAAAACCCAACATCACAGTCATAAACACATGTAATCAACCCTGTAAAGTAAACAGCAGCATTTAGAACCATTTTAGAGCCGGGCAAGCACACAGACACCACACAGAGCTGGGCAAGTAAAAAAACTTTTTTTTTAAAGTATATGTGTAGGCTATATTTGGACCATAAGACGCAGGGACTCTCCCCCCCCCCCCCCCCCCCACTTCTGAGGGGGAAAAAAGTGCGTCTTATGGTCCGAAAAATACGGTAAGTTTTATAGAAGGTGCTTGGAAGCAAGATCTCAGCGGATTAAAAAAGTGCTCTGGAGAATGGCAGTTTTGTAGTTTCTTTTATGCAGTTAGGATCAGGAGAAAAGGAAGATACATGAAATCTAGTGATAGGTTAAGGAGGTGGGAGAAAGGAAAGCAGAAAAATCTCTAGGATTGGCTAAAAAGCGAAACTGAGAAACACTTATTTTACATTGGTGGGTATTGGATAGTTAATAATTAACATTTACAACCCACAGAGAGGGTATGCAGGAACAAGATAACCATGAGGGGTTCTGTGGTCTCCTGCTCTGGTGGTTTTATGTTCTGGTGCCTATGGTTGTGCCTTTGAGGGGATCTGGAAAAGAAAATTGCCCTGACTGAATAAAAAGCATGGTCATGGCTCACTTTTAAGGTAAATATTAATCCTTGCTGCAGGCCTGGGACATTACCTGCTGTCACCTGCCTGTTAGGAATTTGTGATCAGAGACCATCTGTGTGGTTACTTTTGGTCACTGAGCTTGCCAGACCTGCCATATTACACCCCCTCCCCCACTCCGTTGTCAGGTTTATTACATAGCCTTCTTTTCATTCACATAGGAGAGAAAAAACACCTGAGCACATGGCCTTGGTAGAAACAGAGGCAAAGTGGAAACTGAGAAGTCAAGTTAAAAATTTTTTTTCTGGCTCTGTGGGGTCTCCTATCCCCTGATGATCTTGCACTCAAGTGCAAAAGCGAGACCAGCATAAGATAGTAAAGCAAACTTGAAAAAGCTGACCTCCATGTGAATATCCAGTGTAGGAGCAACTACCTAAATGAGGGAACAAGTCAAGGACATGTAGAGTTTTCTACTGAAATGTCAGTTTTTGAAGGCTTTTCTTCAAAGGTTGTGTGTAGCAGTTTTCTTACAAATTTTCTCATTTAATTCAGAGCTGAACAATTAAACAACTCTGAGTTGAATGAAAAACAGCTCAGAGGAAACCAGTTAGCTTCTGTTGTGGCAACAACAGAGCTCTGTCTTGTTTTTGACTCCTCGGTTGCTTCCTCAATGATTATTTCTGACGATTCTGTACTTCCGTTTGCTCTGACCTAGAAGTGCCACCAAGTTTTCATTTTGCATGTTGACCAGAAGTGTAGACATGGGGACATATTGATAGAAGCCCCTACAAGCCCACTTTGTTCCTTGATATTTGTATTTTTGTTTTTAAAAATATGTTGTTATTGATTTCAGAGAGGAAGGCAGGGAGAGAGAGAGAAAGATAGAAACATCAATGGTAAGAATTATCAGTTGGCTGCCTCCTGCAGGCCCCTTACTGGGGATTGATCCTGCAACTCAGGCAGGTGCCCTGACTGGTGATTGAACCGTGGCCATGTGGTTCATAGATCCATGCTCAACCTCTGAGCCACTCCAGATGGATGTTCTTTGATATTTGTCATGCTTATGACCACCCATATTGACACAAGCAAACTCTCCTTGTGTCTCTGTTTATCAAATGGAAAAGGTATTTCTCATCCCATCATTCAACACCCGAGCTTATCTAAAGTAGGAATTACTTCAGGATTATGACTCCAAAAACATTAATGCTCAATAATAACCCTGAAATATATCTGATGGTTTTTGAAGTTTTGTAGTTTTGGACAGTACAGTAATCGAGGAGCTGATTTCTGGGCAGTGACTTCTGGATAACTGGCCTAATATTCTGGGAAGTACTATTGCTGATGGGCTGAATTAATTAGGGAGAGGAGCCATGGAAACAAGCAATATATAATTTTTGTTTAGAACTCTGCTGTAAGTCGCAGGGTCCAGATCAGAAGGCTTCCACAGTGTAAGAATTCAGAGGGAAATCATAATTGGATTGTTCTTGCTATGCAGTTGTGTAACTCTATCATTATTAATCCAGAGAGACAGTATTGTTTTCTCAGTAAGTGTGTGGTCAAGATATCTCTACACTTCTTCACCAGTGTTTTGAACCTTTTCCAGTTTTGTAAAGAAGCTGTCCCAGAGACTTATGTGAGAATTTGCCAACTTTTGGTGAAAGATTTTCCATCATTAAAAAGTTAAGAGTTGAATCAAATAGGAAATCAATAAGCTTTGTGTATCCTGTAGACAGACCCAAACTGCTTATACTCGCTGTGTCAGCTGGATCTTGACTATTTTTATCAGTATCAGAGCTGACAAAGCTTCTTGTTCAGGACTCCTGCTTTCCTTTTCATCCTGTGATAAGAGTATCTTTTGTAGATCCAAAGTACATTGTGAATAAAGTTGATCCACATTATTACTGTCTCTCCTTTTAAAATATTTTTATTTATTATATTTAGAGGCAGGGGAAGGGGAGAGGGACAGAGAGAGAAAGAGAAACACTGATTTGTTGTTCCACTTATTTATGCACTCATTGGTTGTTTCCTGTATGTGCCCTCACCAGGAGAGCAAACCCACAACTTTGGTATATCAAGACCACCCTCTAACCAACTGAGCTACCTAGGCAGAGCCCTGTCTTTCCTCCTCCTCTTCCTCTTTCTTTTTCTTCTTCTTTCTCACTTGAGGATATATTTTTATTGATGAGAGAGAGAAAGAGAGAGAGAGAGAGAGAGAGAGAGAGAGAGAGAGAGAGAGAGAGAGAGAGAGATATGGATTGGTTGCCTCCCATACATATGCTCCAATTGGCAATTGAACTCACAACCTTTTGGTGTATGGGACCATCAACTGAACCACTCAGCCAGGGCAGGGCCCTGTCTTCTTATTGGCAAAGCCCAATTAGCAATACATAGGAATGCATTTCTTAACAAGGGAAGGTCTATTTCAAGGACATTTGCAAGCTCTGCAATATTAGTATGCTCAACTATTGAAAAGAGTATAGAGTTTGAAAGTTTCATCATCTAGTCATCTTGCATTCAACTAATTACAAAATCTTAAAGAGATTAAAATTGTCATTAGTTAAAATAAAAAAATGGCTGAGACCGGTTTGGCTCAATGGATAGAATGTCGGCTTGGGACTGAGGGGTCCCGGGTTTGATTCCGGTCAAGGGCATGTACCTTGGTTGCGGGCATAACCCCAGTAGGGGGTGTGCAAGAGGCAGCTGATTGATGACTCTCTCTCATCGATATTTCTAACTATCTCTCTCCCTTCCTCTCTGTACAAAATCAATAAAAATATATTTTAAAAAATAAAAAATGGTTATATAAATGATGTATCACATTATAATCTCTAGTGATCTAGAGAGTTTAGAGTCTAAATTGGTGATCTTATCTACAATATGTTTCTGTATATTTTTATGTCATTATCTGACCAGCCTGCACCACCCACCATGCCTCTGTAGCAGTTTCCACTGACATTATTAGTAAACAATGTGACCATTTTTCAAATTTCAAAAATAAAATTGGTGATCTAGACTGATTTGTAATATCAATGTACTCCTACCTTTTTATGCCAAAGAAACTTAGAACTCAGCCTTAGGAAAACTGGGCAGTGAAGCATCAATCTTCTCACTGTTAACAGTGTCCTCTGTAATATAAAAAATGGTGTTGTCCTTAGGCCCTTTAAAGGTACAGCAAGAAATAATATTGACTATAATAGTTCCTCAAAGTATTTGCATTAACCTTTCTAAATACGTTTAAGTTATATTTCTGTATCATAACTGATTTTGGAAATGCAGAGAACAACCTGCTTTGCATATCTTCTCTGTGAATTTCTAAGACCCTGTGGCAGGGTGGCTGGCAGCTTGCCCTCTGGGTGGCTGTGCCGGATGTGGGACTCCCTGTCTGTGGTGGGAGGGCCCTGGAACAGCTGTGGGAGCCTGATGGAGGCCTCACCCTGTAGGCGTTAGAATGCCTGGGCTGCTTTATGGGAGAGAACAGAGAACAGTGTCAGGGGTGCATCAGAGGATTTAAGTTTCTTCATTAGATTATATTTTTTTAAGAAAAAAAAAAGAGCTTTTAAAATTATCTCTCTTATAAATAATTCTCTAGGCGACTAACCTACTCTTCTATTTGACCATTCCTCAATTTTGTTAAAAGGATTAGAGAATGCTTTCATTTTGCTTCTCTCCATTTCAAAAAATTTCCCGTATGACTCTTTTATGTTTAGGTTTCTCATATCCTTTCTAGAGTGTTTCATCCCACCTAAATCCATTATTCTGTGCTCTTCCATTTTCTCTAGGACCTTGATTCTGCAGTCTTTCCCTCTCATCTTCAATCTTTCCTTACTTCTAATATGTGTGTGTGTTTGTGTGTGTGTGTATTTGTGTGTGTGTGAATTGAACCTGCAGGACTTGCCTACTCTCCCCCCCCCTTTTTTTCTTCTTTTTGCCTACTCCTTTTAAAACAGACAATTTCCCCCTCTTTCCTTTCTCTGTCAAGTTTCCCAATAATTGGCTGTCCTCTGACTTTCATTATTTGATGAATAAACAAATGCTCTCACATTCACCTTCTCATTCACTTTACACCAGCCAAACGGGCCTTCTTTCTGTTCTTTGAACATGCCACGGTCAGTCTTCTAGGGCCTGTGTATTGCCTGTTCTCTTTTCTTGGAACCCTCTTCCTCAATTTGCCCAGCCAGCTCCTCTTATCATCTCTACAAAAACATTTTTTACACACACACACACACACACACACACACACAAAAACACACACGCATACACATGTAATTGCACATGCCAGTCAAGTCAAAAGTAAGATGACATTTTATTTTATTGATTGGTTGATTTTATAGCGAGAGTATAGGAGAGAGAAAAGAGAGAAAAAAAACCACCAGATTTGTTCTTCCACTTATTTATGCGTTCATTGGTTGATTCTTGTATGTGCCCTGACTGGGGATCAAACCTGAAACCATGGCATATTGCGGTGCTCTACCAACAGAGCAACCCACTCAGGGCAGTAAGAGAACATTTTACTTACTTACTTACTTATTTATTTATTTATTTATTATTTATTTAATATATATTTTATTGATTTCTTTACAGAGAGGAAGAGAGAGGGTAGAGTTAAAAACATTGATGAGAAACATCGATCAGCTGCTTCCTGCATACTCCCTACTGGGTATGCACCCGCAACCAAGGCACATGCCCTGAACCGGAATCGAACGTAGGACCCTTAAGTCCACAGGGGGACGCTCTATCCACTGAGCCAAACCAGTCAGGGCAGTAAAAGAACATTTTAACCAGGAATTTTAACTGAAAGCCAAACCAGACATTAAGTTGATAATTGATATATTTTTGCTTTTCTTTGAATTTCACAGTTTATATGTGTAGATGACCTCAACTGCAATTTAAATTTAGGAAAGTGCTGAGTGTAAGTGGATCTTCACTTTCTCCCAGGTGTAGCAGTCAGTGTGGGGAAGGAGGGATGGCTTTGCTGAACATTCCTGTGAGGTGGGATTGTTCCCATTTCTCTGGTAGGACACGGAGGTGCCAGGGTTTCTGGAGGTTAGGCTGCTGGTAAGGTGGGGGCGAGGTTTGAACCCAGTTCTGCCATTAGAGCCACACAGGCTGCTAAGAAGCAGAAAAACATTCAGGGTCCCCAGTGTCAACCTGGAAGATGTCTAGTCTTAAATCCAGAAGGAGGTCATCTGGTTTAATCCTGCCTTTGACAGATGGAGGAGCCGAAGCTCTAAAAGGCAGAACAACCAGCCTGCAGGAGAGCATAGAAGGCAGTGTGGGAGAGTGCGGCCGGATCTTGCCCAGCCCTTACAAACAGAAAGCCTGAAGTGAGAAAGTTAAATTCTGTCCAAGAAAAAGAAGGCAGAAAAGTGGCTGTTTTCTTTCTGACACCCATAATAATTTTCTAAAAACTCTGAGTCCTGCTACTTTAGGCTCTCAACTCCACCATCTATCTCTTTTCCCCCAAGTCCCACACTCTTCAAGATGCTTCACAGGACAGCCAGGAAATGGGGGCTGCATGGGAGTGGGGGGGTCCAGTGGCTATATGTCATCCATCCTCTGTAACTCCTGGCCCTGGCTCATTTGGCCGTACCTCTAATCCACTGTCTTTTAAGGACTTCCCTGACACTTCCTCACTGTCCTGGCAAAATCTTTACCAAGGCCTTGTCCTTATATTTACATTTGCACAGAACTTTTGCCTTTATAAAGTGCTTTTCTGTCCAGGGATGGGATTTTTATTCCCATTTTACAGGGAAGAAGACTGAGGCTGTTCTCTGGAATCTCCAGTGTTGTTAGGCACTAATTATGAGTCTCAGCCTCACACTGGCCAGCAGTGCTCCTTTGGTACACATTCCAGGTTTTCTCTTTTTCCCCTCATGTTTCATAGAATCCCAATGGATTCTATATGGCAGAGACATTACACAGACGGCTGGTGGTCCATGGTTAACCAAAGGCTGCAAGCACAAGCTTTATGTTGCTTTGGCAATGTCCTCCAGGTTCCTTAGCCAACTGCCAAGTTATCATGTGCCACTCCCGACCAATCCTTGCAGTCTTTTCTTTCATTGTCTAATCAGATTTTCCAGTTTACAATCTTCCAATTTATCCAAATGGATCTGTTTGGTTTATTTTTTCTTGCCTAAATGTTAGGCATTCAACCTAATGGGTTTCAAAAATTAATATAATTTATTTGCTATCTTATCAGTGTAAAACAAAAACATTAAGACAACACACTGAAAAAAAGAAAGAAGAGGGGGGAAAAAAGAAGAAGACAACACACTGAAGACCAGACTCCTTCCTCTTCTTCTCATTCTGTTTCTTGAGTCATCAGCAAGTAAACAGTTCTGTAAACATGTGTGGATCTGTGCCCTGTGCGCGTGGACCCACTGTTTTATTCCGTTTGTGACTGATTTTGTTCCAGTTGCATCCAAGTGGCCTGACCTGTTCAAAACGGAGATTCCCGTAGCATCTGGACATTCATCAAGGCCCGCTTCAGCTGCTCATAGGTAACAAACATCACCACGTTCCAGATTCCCAGGCGCAAAAAGGAGGGTGTAAATCTGATGAGAGAAACAACCAAAACATAAGGCAGAGTGGAAAGAAGTCTGTGCTCTCCCCATCACAGTGTCAGTGCCAACGACCGAGACTTGTGTTAGTCACAAACATTTTCTTAGACCTGTTCAGTCTTTTCCTTCTCTGCTGAGAGAATTCAGGCAGAAGGAGAGGAAAGAAAACTGGCATTTTTAGCCAGGTTACTCTACCAGGCAGTTATTCTCACTGTTCTATAAGATAGCCAATTGTGGCCAGTTGCCTTTTTCAGAAACTGCCACCCAGGGAGGTTAAGTAGCTCTTTTATAGCCACGTGAGTCCCTCTGCTGCTGGGTGATTCTGGGCTTGCATCCTGAATGTTCACCCCTGATGAGGTGCTAGGGCACCGAGAAGCTGGGATACCGCAGGGCAAAGATGGTGTAGCACCAAGTTTAGCTCATCTCCGGAGAGCCTGCCTGTTCTGTCCCCACCTCAGCTTTGCTTCAGACTCAGGGAGGAGCCTGTGACCTGGCCCTGCCCTCCTCCTCAGCCTCTCTCTGCTGATCCCCTCCTGGTCCTCTCTGCGCCTGCCAGACCCTTATTTCCATGCCCTTGCCCATGTTGCTCCTTCTGTTTAGAATGTCCTTGTCTGGCTGGTGGCTAATGGCTCTGTAGGAACTGGCTTGGTGGTCATAACCTCATGCCAAGGCCTCTCCTGAACCCTCAGCCTAGGCTCCTCATAGGGAGCATACTCCTGAGGCAATGAGCTCTGCCAGTTTTTAGATTCATGATCTCAGCTAATCTTTCTGACCATCAGTTTCCTTATCTGTAGAAGGAGGAAAACACAGGAACGGTATCTACCTCATAGAGTTGTTGTGAGGATTCAATGAGTTATGCACAGCACACAGCTCAGGGGCCAGTATCAGAAAATGCTCAATAGATGACACCTACTTGTCTGCTGCTCTTTGGGGAAGCATAGCACTAGCTCCTCACCCATGAGATGCAAAGCAAATGTTTCCCAAGTAAAATAATAAACGGAGACAAGTGGCTACAGCTTAAGATTGCAATGATAGAGGCACTTACAGGGAAAGAACAGACTGTCCGTGGGAACACAGACTGATGATGTCATTCCGAGGAGTTACAACCTGTTTGCTTACTGAGTTCACTCTAACACTGGGATCCAGAAAGTTCTCATCAGAGGTGGGAGGTGAGAGGGAAAATAAAATAGCTTAGCACCACAATGAACATGTTGGGTGAAGTCTAATGGGTTGGGTTTGAGCTGTGGCAGTGGGTTGGGAAAATTCTCAGGATTACTAACCACCTTTCCCTCCTTCCTGGCCCAGTGAATTTGAGGACAGCACTTGACCTATGCCTAGACTCCCGTTTCTCAGATAAGCCTCCCCTGACTCTCCAAATTGGATTTGGCTCATTCCCTGTCCCCACTCCCCCCCCACCCAACTTCCATAGTTTTTGATACTTTTCTTTGTGGCATTTACATCTGTACTGTTCATCACTGCATCCCAGAGGGACCTATGGTAGGCACATTATTCATGAAAGGAAGAAAGGAAGGAAGAAAAGGAGGAGAGGGGAGGGAGAAGGGATGGAGGCAGAGAGAGCAAACCAACTTTTCTGGAAGGGAGATGGAGACGGGAGGGGTAGGCTCACCCCTTGTAGAAGGCTGAGGCACCCTCCCGGGCCACCATCTTCAGCATACAGTCCAGGGGGCTGCGGTATTGGCCTGGGAGCGAGTTCATATACCGGGTCTTCACCACGTCCACTGGGGAGGCCACCACTGTGGCACAGAAACCGGCTCCAAAGGCAGAGACAAAGTGGCAGGGGAAGTTGTCTGTGGCAGGGAAGGAAGAGCAAAGACGGGGCTGTGAGATGGGATGAGCTCTTGCTTTCTGTTACATGTGTGTTCACCATATGTCCCCAGTTAAACGGTGAACTCCTTGAGCAGAAGGGTGGTACTTTCCATCGCTCACTGCCTGGGTGGAGCCCCTGGTAAGGACTGGCAAGATAGAACTGAGCCACCCCACAGCTGGAAGGTCATCCAGCCCAACCACCTTGTTTGAGGAAACTGGAGTCGGAGCAGATGATTCCCCACTTAAAGACACACGGTGAGAAGTGGTGCTGGGCTGGAAGCCAGCTCCCTGGCTTCCCCGTTCAGGGCTTCTTCCTACTCGTCTCAATGATGTTCTGGGCACTGCTCCTCTCTGATCCTTCTAAAGCCCAGTGGCCTCTGGGTGGTGCCCACTAGGTGGAGTTCCCAGTTCCCTCCCTGCGTGGGAGGGCTGTCTGCCTGGAGCCCAGGGCCTCACCGGTGAGCAGGTGATAGTCCAGCAGCTTCTCCTTGATGATGTCATAGGTCACCATCTCAGCACAGTTGACAATGGCATTCCTTGTGATGTTGGGGAAAGTTCCTGTTGGAAAGGGAGTGTGGGCTGATAAATGGGGAGCAGGAGAAGTGGACCCCTGGCTGCAAGGCCATAGACTTCCAGTGGTTTCAGAGAGCCCACTGAAACCTGAGCAGATTACACATAACGCAGTGTTAACAACTCGGATTGTCCATGTCCTCCTTAGCGGCAGAAAACAGAGAGGCCCACTTGTGTTTGTTTGGGCAACATTTTGGAGGATAATCTGCAAAACCTATCAAAATTCACATATCCCTCCCTGAGACTTGTCTAAGGCAGGAAAGGAAGTCTTCCTTTGGGAGAGGAAGGGGGGCTCTTGCAATGGTGACAGAGCGCAGTGTTGGCAGCATCCAGGAGAGCATCCAGACCAAGCCCTGGTTTCTCAGAGGAGGGCCAGGCTCCAGGAGGGCACAGCACAAGCGAGTGCAAGGTCCGGGCTCTGACCCAGGTGTCCGTCCTGCTCTTAACCTCCACTGGGTCACTGTTTCTTCTGAAGGACTCATGGGACCCCAGTCTCCATGTGGGAGAGATTCCAGCATCTGTCGGCGTTGCCACCATTTAGACACGTAGGGACCCCTAAAGCCATGCTCCCAAGGAAGCTCCCTCTTCACAGTGTCTCCTGCGCCCCACTCCTCGCAGCTGCCTGTTTCTTCACCTCTCTTCAGCGTTTGCTTGGAAGGTCCTCCCTGCAATCTCCACACACTCAGAGCCTCCTGAGCCTCTGAGGCCCAGCTTAAGCGTCACCTTCCCTCCAGAGCCCACATGGCCTCTCCTGCCTCTGGGCCTGCATCTCTGTGAGCCTAGCACACCCTGCCCCGTGGTATGGCTGCTCCTTGGCACGGCTCATCTCCTCTGTCTTCCAGTCACTCCTGCGCTGGTGGAGGGTTGGCAGAGTGAGCTGAACTGGGAGCACCGTGTTAAGTCAGGAGGTATTTTAGGTAGGATGCTCTTTCAGAATCACTGGAATACACTCTGCTGGGAGTTCCCTCGTTGCTCAGTTCTCTGTCCCAGCCCGAGGGTGGGAAAAGCTCTGCCGAAGGCCCTGAGACTGGAGTCCAGGCTTACCTTTCCACAGGCCCCTGAGCCCTTCCTCCCTCGCGATGGTCCTGTAGGCGTCCATTGTCCCGCTGTACTTCTTGCTGCCGTCAGGCCCGAAGTGCTTGTTGGCCTGAAATCGGACCTTCACCACGTCGGTGGGCTGGGCACAGGTTACCGCCATGGCCCCTGTGGTGCAGCCCGCCAAAATCCGGGTGATGAAGCTGGAGTCTGGGGAGGAGGAGGAGAGAGAGCGGGCCAGTGTCCCATCACCTGACACCTCTCTGAGTCTCATGCCATTCTCCCCTGCCTGAGGCCTGCCTCTTCTCCTGGGTCAGAGTTTTGGAGCTTTCTTTAAGGAGCTCTGAGTCTCCTCAAGAGTGTCCGTTACCAGCCCCCATACCCCAGCTCTGCCTCTGGTCTCTGGGCCCATGCACGGGTGTCCCCGGGTACTGGGCGCTCACGCTCTGATCCTTTGGGGGTATACAGCTGCTTGACAGAGTCGTAGAGGCCGATGCGGATGGAGGCGAAGCTCATCTGGCGCTGCAGGCCGGCGACCAGCCCGCTGTAGGGGCTGCGGAGGCCCTCGGTGCGCACCATGGTCAGGATGGTGCCCAGCACGCCGCGGTACTGGATGCTCCGGGCCGCCTGGGATGCCTGGTTCTCCCCCTGGATCTGAGGGACACCCCGCAGAGCTGTGAGAAGCATGGTGGGTGGGTGGCGGGGGCAGATGGGCTGTGTTCAGAGGCACCTGCCTGGGGCTGGACTTGGAGGACAAGCATGACCAAGCTGTCGCATCTCAGGGAAAGTGACTGAGGCTTGTGCCACAGCTTACAGCTCACAGTGTGGCATTTGCTGCTCAGAGAAAGGGAGGGCAGATTGGTTTTCCCATCAAAGTGGTCAGTGGCTTGCTCAAGGTCACCCAGTAATTCCTTACTTTTACTTCACTCTTCATGGTTTACAAAATAGGGCTAGGCCTTGAAGGGTCCTGTCACGTCATGCCAAGGAATAAGATATTTTTGTCTTGGGCAATGATGATGGGGAGGCAGCAAGGCAGGGCCGGCAGCAGTGGAGGAGTGGCCTGCTCAGGGTTCTGTGTGGGGAAGAGCTTGTTGGGAGGCGGTACAGGCGTGTGGTAGAGACCTCAACCCTTCCTTTGATGCGAACAGTGACCCTCGGCCAAGGGGCACCTACCTGCAGGCGGACCTTGGCTGTGTCCAGTGGGAAGGTGAGGAGGTCAGCAAAGCAGGCCGCCATGCCCGCCCCCAGGAACTTCACGGCTGTTGTCGGAGGCATCTCTGAAGGCTTCAGTCCAACCATGGTCCCAGAGCTTTCTTCCAGTCCCGTGAGGACCCAGTTCAGGTCCGAGGAGAGCGGCTGCTCTGCAGCCCTGGGCTTTATACAGGGAGGAGGCTGCGGAGAGAGGCCAGCGGAGGCAGATGGAACCAGTGCTGCCTGGCTCAGCATCAAGAAGGGCTTTCTGAGTGAATAGCCTGGGCATTTCCATGTCCAGCCGTGTGGATCTGGCTTAGAAAAATTGGCCACATGACTTTGCCTTATCTCTTAAATTTTTTTTTTAAAAAAATTGATTTTAGAGAGAAAGGGAGAGGGAGAGAGATATATAAAAATCACTGATGAGAGAGAATCATTGATAGGCTGCCTTCTACACACCCTACATTGGGAATCGAACCCACAACCCGGGCATGTGCCCCAACTGGGAATCGAACCATGACCTCCTGGTTCATAGGTTGATGCTGAGCCATGCTGGCCAGGCTGACTTATTTCTTTTGACCTTAAAAGGATGAAGTTGCATATAAAACTTTGGTTTATTTATTTATTTAATTTATTTATTTAAAAAAATATATATTTTATTGATTTTTTACAGAGAGGAGGAGAGAGGGATAGAGAGCTAGAAACGTCAATGAGAATCGTCGACCAGCTGCCTCTTGCACACCCCCTACCTGGGATATGCCCGCAACCAATGTACATGCCCTTGACCGGAATCAAACCTGGGACCTTTCAGTCCACAGACCGATGCTCTACCACTGAGCCAAACCGGTTTCGGCAAAACTTTGATTTTTAAAAAAATATCTATATATTTTATTGAGTTTTCACAGAGAGGAAGGGAGATGAATAGATAGCTAGAAACCTTGATGAGAGAGAAAAATCAGCTGCCTCCTGCTGAGCCAAACCGGTTTCGGCTAAACCTTTGTTTTTATTTAAAAAGTCAAAAATTTGATGTACAATTTCCATGTAATGGTTGTATGTATTTTAATGAGCTGTAATGGGTCATGTGTGTTGATTATGGAATGTTTGGCCAGGACAGCAGATGGGTGAAGGGATTTTCTAGGCGGGGATCTAACCTGGCATCCAAGCATACCTAAGTCAGATCATGTCACTCCCTGTCCAATATGCCCCCTCTGTTATTGAGAACAAAATCCCAAGTCCTTGCTGTGGCCTGGGGGCCCCTCCGTAAGACCCACCTGGTGCCAGGCTCTGTACGTGGTGCTCCCCAGGCAGTCCTGAGTAACGGTGAGTGTGACCTGCCCACAGGCACTCTCAAGGAGTCTCGCAGGGGCATGAGACATGCCTACGGGTGATTGTAGTGCGAGATGGGCTGGACCAAGGCCAGAGAAAGAAGCCACCCAGAAGGGGCTAAAAGGAGGGAGACCCCCTCTCTTGTTTGTGAGGTAGAATTAGAACAACTTCATGGGGGAGGGTTGTATGAATTAGGCCTTGAAAAGTGGGCAGAGTGTTCAGCTGGAGAAGAGCGTGCGAGTGCAGGAAAGGCACGAGCTATGAGAGCCTGCGGCCCGGCTTAGGGTGGGAGGAGGGAGAGGCTGCTGGGCCATGAGGACCTCGCAGTGAGCTTTACACACCGTCTCATGGAATTCTCACAACTTTTCTGAAAGGGAGCTTCCCCTTCCTTTCCCGACTTTGGATGAGCAAACCGAGGCTCAGAGACACACGCTGGCTCAGCGTTACCAGCCGCTGGTGTCAGAGCCTGGTTCCCTCTGCTCTACTAGGCTCGCCATAGCCCTGGAAAAGAGGAAGGGCACCATGTGAGTCCATTTTACAGCTGAGAAAATAGAGGCTTAAGAAAGAAAGAGACTGGCTCAGATTCACAGAATTCCAGCCAGGTTCTCGTGATGGCATTAGGCTCCCTTCCCCATTCCACTCCGGGGCCTGGGGAAGGCTGTGGTGGGATGGATATCCATCATCTTGCCTGTATAGTGAGGGCATTCAAGCGCTGGCGAGCATGTGCCCAGTTTGGAGGTGAAATAACCGGCCCCCAAGTGGCTGGGGCCTCTGCAGTTTGGCTTCCTCCACAGTGCTCTTCCCACAGCTGCTCCTCCCACAGCCCGTCTCCCTGCCTTTCTGCATTGCTTTCCTCACAGGGTCCAAGGAGGATCTGATTTCTTGGGAGGATGGTGTAGAGGTGCTGTGTCTGCACAGCTGAGCCTAGCTGAAGGAACAGTCTGGACGTCATGGTGGGGAACACCCCCACCCCCCCTTTCACACTCCCCTTTGCCCTACAGAAGACCAGCAGCTGCCAGGGCTGGCTGGGTCCCCAGCCTGGGGCTGGATGGCAACCGCAGAGACCTCCCCCAGTGCGCGCATTCTGTCAGCCTCTCTTCCTTTAAGCACTAGCGACCCCCTGCCCTCCCCTCCTTGGGCCTGTGCTGGGCTTCTTGGAACCTTAGCCTGGAATGTGAGGGCATGAGTCTCAGAGTTGGGAGGCCCTTGGGGGCTGAGCTCCCTGGTGTCTCTCACTGGTTGTTGGAGTGTCCCCTATTCACAATCTCTTGGGGGTTACCCAAGCTCTAACAGAAGATCCCTACAAGTTAGGTGTTTTTACTCTACTTTCAGAGTTACAAACTGAGGCCCAGACAGCTGGTGAGGTCACAGGTGCACAGGGCTATGTGACTCCAAGGCACGTGTGAGATGTGCCGGCCTGGCAGAGAACACTCTGAACTTCCTGGTCCCCAGCTACTCCTGGTGCTATACCGTGCTTTCTTGTAGGATTAGCTCATTAACTGCAGTGGTTCCTCCCCTGAAGGAGGACGGCAAAGGCAGGGACAGGGCTGACTTTCCTCCTCCTCTGTCCAGCCTGGCACAGGGACGGCCCAGGGCTCGAAAGGCCCAAGGAGGTCCAGTTGACCAAGGAACCCCCCTTGCTAAAGGGGAAAAATGGGAAGGAAAATCGGAGGTGTCCACAGCAGCCTTAAGTGGGGACCTCCAATGCCAGGGCTATACTGAATCTAGTGAGAGTGAATAGTGGTCGGGGATTTGCAGTTGAGGAGTGACATTAGCACACCCACCTGCAGAGCAGGCTGGTACAGACCTTTGGACTGGAAGGGAGAGATGAAAGGCTCGAGACCAGTGAGCAGGTGGTTGGAATGGTACAGGGAGAGGTACTGGAGCCTGAACGTGATCAAGAACAATGGCTCCAGACCTGGCTTGTTTGGCTCAGTGGATAGAAGGGTCCCAGGTTCATTTCCAGTCAAGGACCTGTGGGGGGCATGCAGGAGGCAGTCAATCAATGATTCTCTCTCATTACTGATGTTTCTGTCTCTCTCTCCCCTCTCCCTTCCTCTCTGAAATAAAAATGTATTAAAAAAAAAAAAAAAAAAAAGAACAGTGGCTTAAGCCCTAGCCAGTTTGCTCAGTGGATAGAGCATCAGCCTGCACCGAAGCACAGGATCAATTCTCGGTCAAGGGCACGTACCTCATGCGCAAGTTCGCTCCCTGCCTCTGTTCCGGCAGAGAGGGAGGCAACCCGTTGATGTGTCTCTCACACTGATGTTTCTCTCTCCCTCTCTCCACCCCTTCCTTTCCTTCCATCCACTCTCTCTGAAAAAGCAGTGGAAAAAAATATCTTCAAGTGAGGATTAACCAGAAAACAAACCAAGAAGAGCAGTGGCCCGGGGTGAAGCTGGGGCGTATTCCAGAGGTAGTCCTGAGCCACCCGCGGGAGGCAGAGTGGAGAGGCATGGACTCCGGCCAAAAGCCACACCTTTTGGGGAGGGCTTTAGCACTTCCAATGGTCAAACTGGGGTGGGGGCAGGGGGGCTACAACGGTGGGCACAGGTAAGGCTGCCCTGAGACCAGTGCTCCCCACCTTCCTCCCCCTTCACTCCAGCCTCCTGATATGAGGAACCCTAGCAGCCAGCAGGCCTTTGCCACTGGCGGGAAGAAGCAGCTGAGAGCAGAATCCTCCTCCCGCTGGCTCTGCTGGGGCACTGGAGGGATGGGATGGTCTAGTCCACATGGCCTGGGGCCGTGGTTGGCAAACTGCAGCTTGAGAGCCACATGCGGCTCTTTGGCCACTTGAGTGTGGCTCTTCCACAAAATACCAAGGCCTGGGCGAGTCTATTTTGAGGGAGTGGCGTTAGAAGATGTTTAAGTTTAAAAAATTTGGCTTTCAAAAGAAATTTCAATCGTTGTATTGCTGATATTTGCCTCTGTTGACTAATGAGTTTGCCGACCACTGGACTGGGGTAATGGTGCCATTAATGCTTGCTGAGTGGCTCCTGCACAAGACACCAAGCGGAGGGCTTCCTGGGCATTGAAAAATTCAGTCTCTTTATAAAACTCTAAGGCAGCGGTTCCCAATCTGTGGGTCGAGACCCCTTTGTGGGTTGAACGACCCTTTCACAGGGATCACCTAAGACCATAGGAAAACACAGGTATTTACATTACGATTCATTAACAGTAGCAAAATTACAGTTATGAAGTAGCAACAAAAATAATTTTATGGTTGGGGGTCACCGCTATGGTTGCTATGGTTACTCCTTCGTTACCAAGGGTCCGGAGGTTTTGAGGGCTCAGCCAGTCAAGGCTGAGAGATGGAGCTGGGATTGGAGCCCAGATCTGCCTGACACCTGTGCCTGTTCCATTGCTCAGGCTCAGGCTTCAGGGAGAGCTCAGGATTACGGAGTGGATTCTCAGCCCTCAGCCCCAGAGATCCCGATTCAGGCCTGGGTTGGGGTCTGGGAATCTACATTAGAACAAGTTCCCTGATGTCTCTGAAGCAACCCTGATCTGAGACACCCTGCCAATCCCCCATCCTGGCAAAGCCTCCTTGGCATTCCCGCTAAGGGAACCCCCTGGGCAGAGATTCCCACGGGCTGTAAAACTCCCAGCATGCAACATGTACCAGGCCTCATGCCATACATGTCTCCACCTTCCGTTCTCAGGAAAGGGGTCTCCGGAGCCCTTTTGGGGAGAGGATTTTATGCTCTAAAAGGAACCCTAGAAGGATTCTGGGCCAGATTAAGGAGAAAGTCACTTAGGTATGGGGATGTGCAAAGTCACAGCAGAGGCAGTCAGCGGAGCAAGGGGCCAGTCCGGGGTGAGTGACATGGTGGTGGGGTTGAGTCCCAGCCCTGCCACCGTGCCTCACCAGCGCTGCAGTTCCCTCCCCTTGACAAGGTGGGGCTGGACTAAATCTCCATAAGCTCTGTGATGCCATGGTACGGGTCCCTGCCAGTTCCTGGCTGTGGTGAGGGGAGAACATGAGGGGGTGGGTAGAGAATGGGATCTTACCCGAGTCCAGCAGGGGTAGGGGAAGCTCAGGACCTCCTTAGGGCTCCATCCCAGGAGGCGGCAGCAGGACTCTGATTGCTCCCTGGCCATTCACTGCTGTCTCTGCACCTCCGGCTTGGCACCTATCTTTATACACTCCGGCTGACCTGAAACCTTACCCTGCATCTGCTAGTGACAGCCTGTCACTTGACAAGAGGCGGCTGGTGAGGGGCAGGGAGGCGAGGGAGGAGGTCAGAGTTCTAGATCTGGTTCAGTTCCTTTCACTCGAGGTTCTTTAAAATAGCTATTGAAGGAAGCTATTGAAGAGCTACCTCAGAGGACGATATATATGTGCATGTGTGGGGTGTTGGACCGGTCACCTGTAAAAATCCAAAGGTCAAGGCCTCCCTCCATTGGCTGGGCAGGTCTCTCCCCAGCCTCCTCTCAATAATAACACTGATAGCCAAAACTGATTTGGCTCAATGAATAGAGCGTCAGCTTGCGGACTGGAAGGTCCCGGGTTCGATTCTGGTGAAGGGCATGTGCCTTGGATGCGGGCACATCCCCAGTGGGGGGTGTGGAAGAGGCAGCTGATCGATGATTCTCTCTCATCGATGTTTCTAACTCTCTATCCCTCTCTCTTCCTCTCCGTGAAAAATCAATAAAATATATTAAAAAAAATAACACTGATAACAACTCATTTCTTGGTGTCTACTATGAACTAGATACTTTACATATTTTATTTCTATTTCTTACAACCCTAGAAGGTAGGTGCTAATACGATTCTAAGTTTAATTATTTTAAAATATATTTTATTGATTTTTTACAGAGAGGAAGGGAGAGGGAGAGAGTTAGAAACATCGATGAGAGAAAAACATCAATCAGCTGCCTCCTGCACACCTCCTACTGGGGATGTGCCCACAACCAAGGTACATGCCCTTGACCGGAATCAAACCTGGGACCTTTCAGTCTGCAGGCCGATGCTCTATCCACTGAGCCAAACTGGTTAGGGCGAAGTTTACTTATTTTTTAAATAACAGTTTTGTCCTGGCCAGTGTTTCTCAGTGTTTGGAGCATTGGCTCACACACTGAAGGATCTCAGGATTGATTTTATGTCAGGGTACATAGCTGGTGGCAGTTTTGATCCCTGGTCAGGAAGTGTGTGTGAGGCAACTAATTGATGTCTCTCTTTCACATTGATGTTTCTCTCTCTCTCTCCCCCACCTCCCTCCCTTCCACCCTCTCTAAAAAACAATGGAAAAAATATCAAGTGAGGATTAACAATAAATAATAAAAATAAAGCTTTACTGAGATATAATTCACACACCATTTATCTACCTATTCAGTGTTTTTAGTATATTCGCATTTATACTACCATTAATCATCACAATTTTAGGACATTTTCATAACCTCTCAAAATAAATTTTCCCTACACATCAGCAGTCACTTCCCTTCTCCCCAGCCCCAAGTAATTACTATAGATTTGCTTGTTCTGAATATTTCATATAAATAGAATCATTTCATATAAATAGAATATGTGACATACCCTGTGACTGGCTTCTTTAACTTAGCATACTGCTTCCAAATTTCATCGTTTCATTCCTTTTCATGGCAGAGGATCCTAACATTTGCAATGCTCATTTTACAGAGAACAGTCTCAGGGAGAGACAGTGGCTTACACAGGTCACACAGCTAGTATGAGGCAGAGCCTGGTCTCGAGCCTGTAAATTGTAACATACTTTGGGTCTGTCTGCTGTGACCATGTTTTCGATGACATAACATTTGGAGGCTCCGGCAAGGACACTGCTGGAGCCAAAGGCAGCTGGGGGCAGGATGGGTAGGCACTGAGGGTAGGGGTTGGACACAGGTGTCAGAGAAGAGAGGAGAGAAGGGGAAGGGGTCAGGAGAGGAGAGGGCAGGGGAAGAGAGAAAGAAAGGGGTGGGAAGGGAAGGGAATGAACTGGGGCAGAGTAGGCAGAGGCCAATGCTGGCTTTGGGCACAGAGCCATGGCCTCGAGGCAGATGATCATAAGTTCAGATGCTCAGGTACAAAGCCTGCCCTCCTCCTTGAACCAGGCCCTGCCCAAATGTCAGCAGGACAGGGGGTTGTGTAAGTAAGTGTTGCTAGAGAAGTGCTGCTAGGGCCACTGAGGTTGGGAGGGCTCAGGACATAGGTTCCAGGCTCCACCTGAAGATGCTGGCCCCGAGGTGGTGGGTGAATTGCAGTGGGAGGGATAAACAGTAGGAACCCAAACAAGGGGACAGCCAGCCCTGGAGAATGTCAGAGGGCAGGCAGGCGGGCCAGCTCAGCTTACACTGGCCTGAGAGCTTCTTGAGGGCGGGGTCAGGCCTGTCTGCTTTGGTTCTGTCCCCAGAGTCCAGCCCGCTCTAGAAGTCCCAAGGTTGGCTGCCCTGAGCTGGGATCAAGCCTGTGGGTGATCAGAAACCCATTTTCAGGTCTCCACAAAGGGAGCGCTCTAAGGGAAGTGGGGGTGACAAGGCTAGCTCTGCTGGTGGTGGTGGGAACCATCAGGTGCCTCATACTGCATGACCCTGCGTGGTGTTTCCCCGGAGCTGTCACTGGGAAACAGAGCCAGCTTCCGGGGGTGCAGTGGGTTTCAGACCCTCAGAGTGTGTCATGAAGGCTGCCCTCGGCCTGGGTGGAAGCAGCCCGTGTCCTCCTGTGGCCTTATCCTAACTCGAGCTGATCAGGCTATTTTCAGGACCTGAAGAGGATTTACTAGTAGAAGGAATATTCTCCAGCTTAACACCTCAGGCCTGGGCCCCTGACTGCCCCACTGTAGATTCTCTGGGGCTTCAAGGGTGGAAGAGCCCCAGGCCTTCACACTCTGGGCTGGTGGCTTGAGAGGGAGGCTCTGGGGAGGGGGTGAGCTGGCAGGCGAGGGGATCAGGTGAACAGATGAAGGAGGGCAGGCTGGCCTGAGGGCACTTCACGGATGAGGCCTCCCCCCCGCCTCCCCCCCCAGTCCCTCCCTGGGGGTCCTGCCTCACGGTGTACCCTCCAAGGACATGTCCTACCTCTCTCTCTCTGTTATTGGTGCACTTGCCTGTGCAGAAGTGTGGAGGTGTGGGCGGGGCTGACATTTCCTAAGCCTCCACTAGGTGCCAAGTGCAGGCGAAGCACTTCCACAAATGTCATCTCATTTCATCTTCACACCGACCCTGTGAAGCTGGGGTTATCGTCTCCATTTTACAGATGAGGCAACAGAGGTTCAGAGGCAGGGAGAGTCAAGCCGGAGGGGACCGGCTGGGGGAGCGGTGTCTTCTCCATCCCCAGGTGCACGTGGCCCGAGCACCCGCTGGGTACTCTCTCTGGGCTCCCCACGACTTCTCTGTCCTAGGAAGCCTTTCCTGACTGCTCCAACCCACATGGTCTTTCTCCATATGGCCCCTGAATTCACAGCACTCACTGGCTGTGACCGGTTTTGGCCACCGAGTGCAGAAGCCTTGGGACGTCTCTGGAGATGCTGTGTGTAGTTCACTTCCTAGCTACACCAACAAGGGCAAATTTAAGTTCACTGAGCTTTAGTTAACTCTAAAATGGGAAGCCTAACGTGGGTGATAGAGTTGCTTTTTTGGGAATAAGTGAAATGACCTGTGCTTAGGGGTAGAAAGCAGGGCCCTCTCTGTTAGCTCCCTTCTAGCTTGTGGCAGCCACTCTGCACATCTTTGCCCTTATCTCCCCCACAGGCCCTGTCTACAGTAGCTGCTCAGTTTGAGCTCTGACAGTCTAAGCCAGAGCCATGTATCCCGGAGAGGTGGGGAATTCTGAGACCACTTGTTGCAGGAGACTCCCGTTACTTTGCTAATAGATTTGAGGCACCAGCAAAGAAGTAACGGGTGTCACCCTAATCTGGACCAATCTGATCTTTGGGGAGCTCAGAAGTCTCATGGTGACTCTGGCCCCTGGACTCAGTGAGTTTTTAAGGGACTGTATGATGGCCAAGCTTTTTTTTCTGTCTGTTAGGAACACAAAGGAATTCCTAACACTCCTGTCCAGTAGGCCAACCCAGGAAATACTTGAACACAGAATACAAATACCAATATGATTTTATTCAAACATAGGCAGGAACAATGACCTTCAGAGCTGGGTAAAAACAATAAGTTAAAAGCATGGTTAGAATTTCAGACAATCACATAAAATGTTTGAAGGAGGTGATTTCCCCCTCCTCTCCTACTAATTCAACACAGCATAAAAATAATTTAGATCTAGAAAATATCCTTATTCGCAAGCAAATGAACTGAAGGTGTGGTAGCATTTCCTCATTTATGCACAATGCATACAATCTACACCTTCCCCCAAAACCTTTAAGGCAGAAATGGCTCATTATAGGCAGAGAGTGAGCTCATGCCAGCAGTATGCTGTGCCAAGGACATTGGGAGGAGTTTCTCAGCCAAAAGATGCCTGCTTGGGTCCCTTTAAAAGACAAGTGGGCCAGTTGGGTGCTGGAACCCATTTTGTTTCTAGTCTTTGCCTCCATATATCAGGAAGAAGCCGAGGTCCTTGCAGGTGGACAAGAGGCCGGTGTGGGAGCTCTCACTGTCTATGCTGTCTGGCTCTCGGGGTGCCCAAGAACTAGCCTAGTGGTTTCAGGACTCTGACAGCTCAGAGAGAAGAGACCGCGCACTCCTGCAAGCTGGACGAGGCTGAGGGCGGTGGGCAGGGGCTCCTTCCTTCAGTCTCTCAGCTGCATTAGTCTTTTTGGGAGAACCGGGAAGAAAATATCCGTGCAATTCTGCGGGTTTCCTCTTCAGGCAGGTTGGGAGGCAGCGAGCTAGGTCTCGGGAGACAAGGCCTTCGGGATGGGGCGCTTCCAGTGCCTTCACTCTTGTCCTGGAGAGGAAGTCAGCTAGGTTAGCACTGAGGATGTGGCACCGCCAAGAGATGGCTTTGGTTCCTCTCGTCCTTTAGTCCTTTGGCTAACGTGATGCAAAGCACTTTACATACCTGATCGTGTATAATCCTTACCTCAACCCCATTGGTGGGTACATCATTCCCATGTTATGGATGAGGAAACTACAATTCAAGTGAAATAAACTTAAGGTCCCACAGCTCGGAGTAGCAGAACCAAGATGTGAACCAGCTCAGGCTCTTTCTAGGCCTCTGGAGGAGGGGCAGCCCCATCAAGGATGGGTTTGAAGCCTCATGTGTCTGGATGAGTCTAGACAAGACGTTTGTCCTCTGAGTTATCTCTGTCCCACGTGTGGTACCGGGAATATATCCAACTTTTGGAAAGGCGTTGGTAAATAATATACTCTGTTGGCCCTTTGAGTTCCTCAAGCTGCCAGGTGACATGAAACACATACTCATGATCCTACCATCAAACATCTCTCTGACTCAAGCGGACAGATTATCACTAATTCCACTTTTAAGGTGCTTGCATTTGGGTTAGTCCACTGTGGTCCTTGAATCATTTGCTCAACCTTTTTTTCTTGGTGCTTAGCCTGTGCCAGTTTCCTGGCCTGAAGGAGCTCACAGCTCTATAGGAAAGCTACCCCTGGCAGCTGGCCGGGAGCATGGCCCTGGGGAAGAGGGAGGCCTCACAGGAGAGGATAAAGTGCTGAAAGGAGAGGGGGGTCGCCACCACAGGCAAACGTGGCTGACATCACAGCATGCAGCCTGCCCCCTGGGTGGACCTCTCTTCCTGCCCTCCAACTCCAGGAGCGTGACCTTCACCAGCTGGAGAACACTAAGAACACACTGCACACCCCTCAGGCCCTGAGGAGCTCGAAGCTACCTCTCCACTACCTGAAACTCTGCTGCTGATGGGAAACTGAGGCCCAGCTATAGCTGCTTCTGGGACCAGTAATATTTAGTGACCCTTCCCTTTATTTCCTTAACCTATTTATCCAGACTACTGTGAGAGGGAGACAGAACTTGGACAGAATTCATTTCTTGACCTCAGTTATGCAGGGGAGACAGAAATATCTACTGAAAGAATTGGAATAGCAGCCAGCATATAAGGAGAGTGGAAATCAGGCATCCCCACTCTACTGCCTGGGCATGTTTCCCACCCATGGAAAAGGGGGAGATGGGCAATCTAGAGGGTACTTGCCAATCTGGAATTTAAAATGCCAATGGAATGCACACAACTTGAGTAAGCTCTCAGGTATGACAGGATTTCTTGGGAACCAATAGCAAAGTGGTGCTAGGGGCTGAACAGAGACTAGAAGATATGGCTCCATCTCCCAGGCAGGATAGGCTAAAAGGAGAGAAAGGAAACCAACCCTTTGTTAGTGTATGCATTTCTTCTTTCCAAAATATGGGAGGCACCTGCATCCCATAATGCCTCAGACCAAGGGAGGTCAGTTGCCTAGCCACTGCCTGTTACCTTCCCCTTCCAGACTGAGTGCTCTTAAGGGCATGAACTGAATCTATGCTTGTGATTCCAACTGGTCCAGATCCCATAAGAACCCGGAATCTTAGATCAGTGAATGGGCGGTACCAAGCCAGTGTGACTAGAGTCTTAAATTGAGTGGGGAGAAGACTGTCTCTTGTAGCAAATATCTCATTCACTCATTCTGGAACCCATGGTTGTCTTTAGAATAAAATCCTTAAAATCTGAGCATTTTAAGCCTCAGCAAACCTTTCTCTACTCCCAAGATACAAGACTGTTGTTTCCTGAACTATTTAGAACTTAGGAGTGACACTAAGTCCCATTCCAGTCATCTAGTTGTATACAGATGGATCTTCCGGGCCACCAGCTTAATTTCTATTTCTTTTTTATTTTGTTTTTGATTTTCTTTCTTTATTGATTAAGGAATTACATGTGTCCTTATCTCTCCATTCCTCTCCCCTCCTCCATCTCCCCGCTCATGCCCTCACCCTACTAGTGTTTGTGTTCATTGGTTATGTTTAAATGCATGCATACAAGTCCTTTGGTTGATCTCTCCCCCTTTCCCTCACCTTTCCCTGCCTTCCCTCTGAGGTTTGATGGTATGATTGATGCTTCTCTGTCTCTGTATCTTGTTCATCAGTTTATGTTGTTCATTATATTCCACAAATGAGTGAAATCATGTGATATTTATCTTTCTCCGACTTATTTTGCTCCATCCATGCTGTTGCAAATGGTAGGAGTTCCTTCCTTTTTACAGTTCCTTCCTTTATACATCCATTGTATAGATGTACCAAAGTTTTTTAATCCACTCATCTGCTGATGGGCACTTAGGCTGATTCCAAATCTTAGCTATTGTAAATTGTATGCTATGAACATAGGGATGCATATATCCTTTTTGATTGGTGTTTCTAGTTTCTTGGGACATATTCCTAGAAATGGGATCACTGGGTCAAAAAAAATATGGAACACCTAACAAATTTGCGTGTCATCCTTGCGCAGGGGCCATGCTAATCTCTGTAACGTTCCAATGTTAGTACATATGTTGCTGAAGAGAGCATAATTTCCATTTCTTTCTCTGCTACAGTGGAAGGGGACTAGGGAGATATTGGTCCTCTTTCAAATTCTGAAACCAGGCCTCTGTTTCCTGACGGAGGGGAAGCATTCTTTGTTTGTTTGCTTTTTTGCATTCTCTGTTTTTAAGAGGCTCTGATGGGCCTTGCTCTCCCTGATTGGGAGGGCCAAGTATCTCAGTTCATAAAATGACCATCAAAAGAAAGTTGTTGGTGATTCATCAAACCTTTCAGGAGCCTAAATTCTGTTCAACCTAACCAATTCTTTTTAAAAAAATGTTCTCATTGATTTTTAGAGAGATAGGAAAGGGGAAGAAAAGAGAGAAACAATGATGATAGAGAAACATCATTGATCGACTGCCTCCTGCACGCCCCCTACTTGGGATTGAGCCTGCAACCTGGGCATGTGCCTTGACCGGGAATAGAACCAGTGATCTTTTGGTTTCTGGGTCGAAGCTTAACCACTGGGCCATGCTGGCTGGGCCAACATGATTAATTCTGCTTCATCTTTTTTAAAAAAAATATATTTATTTTTTACAGAGAGAAAGGGAGAGAGATAGAGAGCTAGAAACGTCGATGAGAGAGAAACATTGACCAGCTGCCTCTTGCACACCCCCTACCGGGGATGTGCCTGCAACCAATGTACATGCCCTTGATCGGAATCGAACCTGGGACCCTTCAGTCCGCAGACCGACACTCTACCACTGAGCCAAACCGGTTTCGGCTCTGCTTCATCTTTTTAATAGATATTATTGATTTCAGAGAGGAAGGGAGGAGAGAGAGAGAGATGGAAACATCAATGATGAGAGATATTCATTGACCGGCTGCCTTTTGCACACCCCCTCCTGGGGATTGAGCCTGCAACCTGGGCATGTGCCCTGACCAGGAATAGTGAACTCCTGGTTCATAGGTTGCTCAACCACTGAGCTATGCTGGCCAGGCCAACCTAATCAATTCTTAAGGATAAAAGGTAGCCCTGGTTCCCATCCTCCTGGGGCTGCACAGCGAGAGGGGAGACAGACACTGACCTACCCAACAATCACAGAGATGAGGCCTAGAACTTGGGAGCACGGAGAAAGGAGCAACTATTAGCAGCTGGAAAGGTCAGGACTCTTCACACAGGTGGGATCTGAGATGAGCAGGGTTTCAGCAGAGCTGGGGGAGGACATGAGATCATCCCACTGGAGGGAACAGCAGGAGCATAGGCCTGCATTTGCTGCCTGAGCCAACTGCCCTGGAGCTGGATCTAGCATGACTGGTTCAGCCAACCTCCCAGCACCCACACCCAGACCAAGCGGCTTAGGGGCCTTATCTGTATGGCCCAGGCCCAGGGGCAGGGCTTGGCTGTGTGTACAGGGTGAGGCAAAGGTGTGGAAAGACAGAGAACACACCCTCAGCAGCATTTGGTTTTTGTTGACTTCAACAGGGTGTAAAAAACATCTTGACTAGTAATAAAAGTTTGTTCTTCATCAGGATTACTAATACATTAAATACACAACCTGGAGGAGCTGGGCAGAGGTGAAACCAGCCCTTTTGGCAGAAGCAAGTTGTCACCACCGTAGCCTGGGATTTGCAGGAACCTCAGCTTTCCTGGGGAGGCAGGGGGACCCACACGGAAGCAGGATTCTCCGACTAAGGGGCTGTAGGGGCCCTGGAGTCTAGACAGTGGGTGTCATACATGGGGTGACATTCCTGGAAGGATACTTTAAAGAGGGACTTGAAAAATCATGAAGGTGGAATCGGAGTAAGGAAGATGAGAGAGGCTGTTCCAGGTGGAAGCTCAACTTAAGCAAAAGTGTGAAGAAGGAATTTCTTTGCTGGGAAAACAGTGGGGACGGGCCTGGTTGAACTGTACATAGGGAGGATGGAAAACAAATCCAGAGAGAGGGACTGATGCTTGCCGAGGGAACTTCCTAAATGTCTGGGGAGAAACTGACCATATTCCTCTGTAGGATCTGGGGGTGGAGGTCTGACTACTGTCCTGGGTTGAAGGACAGAACTGTTTTTCCCAATGGTCTGGGGCTCTCCAACAGTCCCCATCAAACCCACCCAGCTTTCCCAATAACTTCCCCAACTTTCAAATATGGGAACCTCCATTTTCTGAGCACCTGGACACCCTGGCCATGAAGAACAGGCCTTCATGCCTATTATTCGAGACAGATATATTAAAGGAGACTTTAATGCCAAAGGTAGAATTCCACTGGGGTGAAAATAAAGTGTCATGGAAGGAGAGAGGTACGGTGGTGGGAGGAAATTTTGGGGCTCCCTGGGCACCTCAAATCAAGAGACTAACTCTGGCGGGGAGCTGGTTCTAGTTCTGGCTCTATGCTTCTTAGACAAGTGATTTTGGGCATGCCACTTTCTCTTTGGGCCTCAGTTTCCCCATCTGAAATGGATCAGGAGAAGCAGATGATGCCAGAGGAGGTTCTGTAACTCAGGGACTTATTCCAGATGTGGTTCCCCTTTTGGCGATGTCCCTGTGATGCACCTTTTCCAAGGCACTGTGATTTGGGTTCCCTCCACTCCAGTCCCCAGATGGGTCCCCCTGAAAAGGCCACACCATGTTCCCAGGAGGGTGGTAGGTGCAGGTGACCCCACTTACACCCCTGGGACTTTCTCACAGGGGAGACTGTGGGGTGGAGTGGGAGGAATACTGGTCTGTGGCCAAGCTCAACTGCCTCACTTGCTAGAGCCAAGATACTCTCTCTCCGTCAGTAACGTCATTGCCAAATGGAGCTAAGAACCGCTGTCTGGCCTTCTTACCTCAGGTCTACTGTGAAACAGAAATAAAATTCAGATGTGACCAAGGCTCTTGCCTGGTACAATAACTTGCAAAACACAGGTGCTAAGCTGGAGCTACAGCTGACACCAGCTGCAGAGAGTAAAATGAAGCCTTGCTGTTCTCTGACCTCACCCTAGCAGAGAACAACTGGGGTACAGCACTTCCCCAAGGCAAGCTAGGCCAGCCTGGCCAGGCTCTCCCCACTTCACTGCTCCCTGCCCAGTTAGCCTCTGGGCCTGGCATTAGGACTGAACTTTTGTTCTTTTCCCAGAGCAGCTCCCCTGAGTGACAAACACTGACTCAGGAGCTGGAAGCAAAACTTTCCAGAGCTGAAAACTGTTAATAGCCTCCTGGTTCTGGCTGGCTAGGTGGGCTTGCCAACAGATCACTGGCTCAGACAAGTGAGGGCTCAGTATAGCTGCCTGCCTTGCTCAACTTTCACCCCCTGGGCTGGCTGCCTCCTCCCAGGGTGGGGGCGGGGCTCACAGAGTCCTCTCTGAAGGCTGGGACTGACTTGGTGCTAAAGAGAGCAGTAAACCTAGCAGCTGTGGCTAAGAGCAGGGGGAAGTGGGGACAGACCACAGGCCTAGTCCTGAGAGGCCAATCTTAATCGGACCCCCCCAGCCCAGCTGAAGCACGGCTGGGGCTCATGCTCTGAGCTCACACTTCATGCCTGCTCTAACCATGTGGGTCTCACTACTTCATGCTCCCTTTGAGGAGTCTTCCCCAACGGGCTATTCCACAGGGCCTAGGATCACTCCCTCACCTGAGGCCCATCTCCCCATCTACCCAATGAAGAGGCCTGACTAGATCCAGACTCAACCTTTTGAACCCATTCCCTGTCAGTTAGATTCCTGAGAGGGAAGGATTCCTGAGAGGGAAGGATTAAAGTGACACTTCTAGAACTACAGCTTCTCCCGGTTTCTGGCCTCAGAGAAGCTTAGGCAACTTGGGCCTAGAACATACCCAGCAGACCTGTGGGTCCTTTCCCTTGAGTTGTCTGTCAACTTGCATTCTGGACCAGGGTGGGCATCAGCCATTTCTAGCTATTTCCCCTGATTTTTGTGCATCCTTGGCCAGCGAGCTCATCTCCTTCCCAAAGCTTTGTGTGGCCCTTATCAGAAAACCTTTAATCTTTAGGTCTCCTCTTGGGACTCTGCAGAGGGCTAGAGTCTTGGGGGCTCACAAACATGGGCTTCCAGCTCCAAGAGGAACAGTTCAGCCATTCGGCCTGGAGCACAGGCTGAGGACAGACACCAGGCACAGGAAGTTTCCCTGCTGATTTGATTTGGCGATTTTGTGGTGGTTGGGTTTCTTTGTCAGGAGTGTATATTTTTAATTTAAATTTTCTTTTATTTCTTTCAGAGAGGAACGGAGAGGGAGAGAGAGAGAGAGAGAAACATCAATGATGAGAGAGAATCACTGACTGGCTGCCTCCGGCACATCCCCCATTGGGGATCGAGCCTGCAACCTGGGCATGTGCCCTGACTGGGAATGAAACAGTGACCTCCTGGTTCATAGGTTGATGTTTAATTATGGAGCCACGGCAGCTGGGCTTTTATTTTTTAATGTTTTTATTTCAGAGAGAGGAAGGGGGAGGGAGAGACAGAAACATCAATGATGAGAATCATTGATTGGCTGCCTCTTGCATACCCCTCACAGGGGGTCGGAGCCCACAATCCAGGCACATGCCCTGACCAGAAATGCTCAATCTCTGAGCAACACTGGCCGGTCGATTGTATATCAGATGTCTCTGGGTTTGGGGCAGGGAGATCAAGGCACAGAAAGATTCCTTGGGTTCCTGGGGAAAAAGCAGCAGCTTTAATGCCTTAAGACTCATAGGCAGGCCGGCCATGGACTGCTGTGGCCAGGGCTCTATCACTCTTAGGTGGGGCAGTGTGTTGTTCTCGGCTTCTAACTCTGGGTCTGAATTGAGCACACAGTATATGCTACAGCCCTGAGCAATGCTTTCCATATTTCTCAGGTTCCCTTTCCCAGTGCTAAGCTTCTGATCATGTCTCTATCCCTTAGTATTTCTTTCCTACCAGTCCACCCAAGATGTAACAGCCTAAGAGAGAAGATATTTCAGTAAAAATGATAAAAATTAACATTTGTATAGTTCTTACTATGTTGCGTGCCAAGAACCATTCAAAGACTTTACATTATCTTATCCAGTTAATCCTAAACAAACCCTAGCAGGCAGGTA